CCAGACAGGGCAGTGTGTGCATCTTTCTAGAACACGGCACCTCAAGTCAGCCCAACCCACAGGCACAGCTGGCCCATCGCTAGACAAGCCTCTTGGTGGGAGCAGAGTCCCCGTCCTCTGTCACCGGAGGGTCCCCATCAGCCACCTTCCCACTTGCTTCTGGGGGAGGGGGCCTTTGAAAGTTGTCCTCACCCACCTGCCTGCCCTGATTGACAGCATCCGTGCCTCTTCAGAGCACAGGATGCCACTGGAGGCGGGTCCTCAGACCCCTCCCCTCTTCCTAGCTGGGGTCCAGCTCCCCTGGTCCAGAGTTTCTGGCTAAGATCTACCTCCACCCACACCCAGGGAGCCCCTGCCGGAGTTGGCAGGAACCTCCCAAAGGCTTCTTTTCCAACCCCCTCGTTTTCTCGAGAATGCGAGCGAGTCCCAAAGAGGTAAAGCGAGCGCGCTTTCACCAAGGGAGCCAAGGCCTGCCGACCCGGCTCCACCAGGTCACGGAAGCCCGCGCTCCCTGAGCCCCCACCGCACCCCGTGCCATCCCAGGCCCCTGGCAGCAGAGGGCAGTGTCGGTGGTGGGGAGGGGGGCAGGTGTGACCCGGGGCCAGGAGGGAAGGAGCGGCACGTGGCCTGAGTCACGTGGCCCGGCCGCTGTTCCGCTGGCGCCACATAAACAAGTCCTGGGCCCTGGAGCCGGCCCCACGGAGCTCTCCCTCCCCCGTCCCCAGCCGCCCACTGCCTCAGCCTCAAGACATCATGCTCACTCAGGCCTCGGTAACACGGGGTGACTTCTCGTCCCTTCCCCTCCGCCTGTCCCTTCCCTATCGCGACCATCTCAGAAGCACGTGTTGTGCCAGGAGAGGCTGGGCACAGAGCTCTGCCTCCCCCGGGCACATATTTTACCAGTGACTCGGCAAAGCCTTATCCCGAGGTGCCCGTGCTGTGGGGCAAGGGGCACGGTGACCGGGCTGAGGCAGGGACACCGGCAGGCGCCGCTGAGGGTGGGAGACGGAGCGCCGAGGGCAGCCACGGCCAATGGAAACACCCTGGTCTGCGGGAGCCCCACGGCCTGATGTCTACGGCCTCCGAGGTCCGTGCCAGTTCCTCTGAGCTGTGGGGACCTTGGATGCCTTTCCTGGGTGACAGAACGAGAGGGCTTGGCATCCATCTCGATCCTGACTCTCTGGAGGCCCGAAGACTGTGGCTTCCCCATGTGGCTGAGGTCCTTCGGGCCCCTACATTCCCTCCCTGACCAACACCTGGACCCCCAGTCCTTATGCGTGGGGGTCCTCCTTTTCCGTAACGTCTACTTTATGTTCCTTTCCATTCTGTTTATTCCTGGTTTCTACCTCTGCCACACCAGCAAGCTGCCTCCCCTGCACCTCGCCCAGGCCCTGGCACATGGCAGAGGCCGAATCCAGATTTGAGGAGGGGATGGATTTGCCTGCTCCGTCCTGCCCGTCCACGGATACCCCAGGGGGCCTTCCTGGGCCCGGCCTCCCCCCAAAACGGGCACCTGGCCTTCCACTCTGGTTCACATCCGTTCTCCTGGCCGCCTCCCCACAGAGGGCCTCAGCTCCCCAAAATGTCTGCACCAGCCCCAGAGGGCGAGAATGAAAAGTTCAAGCTTTGGACGTGCCTGGGTTGAAATCTCAACAACCCCACTTACCAAGTGAGTGACCTTGGTGAAGTCACTTCACAGTCACAGTTCCTTTCACCGTGAGAGGGAAGTAACACCTGCTTCATACGGTGGTTCTGACGGTGAAATCAGATAAGCAGAGGCGGGCTCTGCACACAGGTCAGTTTCCCTTTCCTGGGACTGCCTGCTGAGACCAAGAGCTCTGCTGCCCATCCCACGCCTCCCAGGCTCAGCACGGACCGAGCTGGGCTCCAAGCGCACACACGTCCATTCCAGGCCCCAGCAGGCAGCCCTGGCTGAACACGGGATACACCCTCCCACGCCCTCCTGGCCTTCAACCTGCGATCAATGCACAGCCATCTCCCTACGCGGCGTTCTCCATCCTCATCCGCCCGCTCCTCCCCTGCCCAGGCTCAACACGATTGCATCAGGTTCTGCATGGGCCTTGGGGCCTGCAGGTGTTCCCCGGCTCTACCGGCCCACAGGCAGCTCCCGTGGAGGGAGCCAGCAGGAACCCAACCCCAGCCTCTGCTTTCCTCACAGACACTGCAAGTCCCAGAAGAGCAAAGCGAAGCGAGGGCCTCCCTGGAACAGTCCGCTGGTGGGAAAGGGCAGGCGGTATCTCTTGCATATCTCCCAGGAAGGCAACGCGCCCACAGAAGTGACCGGCACAAGGTACAGATCCTCTCTGAAGCTGTGGCTGCAGCCTCGGGGGCACCGGTGCCAGGGGACAGAGCCAAGGCATGCATTAAACCGTCCACAGCCCTGACCAGACCAGGATTCAGTGGGACCGAGAAGGTGCTGACCAATCAGGTCCCCTGGCAGGGCTCCGCCTCCAATGCCCGCTGCCCAAGCCACGCCACCACAGCTCGGGTGCCACCAGCTCGGTTAACCTCTGCTGGACTCAGATGGAAAGGCCTCACCCTGCCTCCTGGCTTCCAGACCACAAGGATCCAAAGGTCAAGAAAAAAGTGCCAGATATGCCTG